AGTTTTATTACTTTTATACAATAATGATCAATGTATGATTTTGTTACAAGGTGAGGATGGTTGTATGATGAAACCTCCTCTCCTGATGACTCAAATTCCTCCTCCATCCATGCCTTTCATTGAAGGCCATGCTAACATGGCTCCATTTGAAGCAACGACGTTTGATCAGCAGGTTATTATCTTCAACATTCTCCCATTGTTTGTTTACCATCGTTGTTTATATAAACAATTTTTTTTTCCATTATATATAAGGTAGGTTGTCAAGTTGTCATTGAAATAAATGTTGAGTTTTGTAAAACTATTAAAAAAATTTATACTAAGATATAAAAGATTTAAAAATAATTGGGCTTCAATTGAATTGCAGGTGTCATTGGATGAACCATCTAGTTCAGGATTTATGAAAATGGATTTCAATCCACTAATGCATGCAGAATCAGCCAGTTACAATTACAACCCAGTTAGCATTTTCTATTGTGTTGATTTTCTTCGTTTTAAATTTTGTTTTACCATTTAATTAATAATAATTTTTTTCTTTATATTTTACCAATATTTTAGCTGTCATTGTTTAACTTGATTTACCTTTATTTTCTTCTTATGTCTAATTCTTCTCTGACCTGCTCTTATTCTCGGTCCCCATGTATTCCATGTATTTGAGTATGCGATATTTATTATTACATTTTCGTTTTTCTTGATCAACATAAGTCAACAATATGAAAAGTAGAAATGTAAACAAAACATCAAACTGCAGTTGTTGACAGGACAAGCGAGGCCAGGTCCACCGATGATCATGCCCCCGCAAGCACATTTTGGCATCACTCCACCACACCAACAAATGAGTTAGCTGCTCATTCTATTTAAACATCACATCCCACCTTTTTTTAATTAGTTTTCTAAAATGATAACAAGATATCATTATTCTCTTCTATGCTTTGTGTATCATGGCTAAATAGATAAATATATATATATATATATATATATATATATATATATATATATATATAACATTTTTGTTTCCCTCTTTGTATTTAGCATATATCTTATTGAACTTTGGGCAATAGTTTTTGATCCTTTCGCTGCCACCATCAATGATATTTCAATTCATTGTTGATGTTGATGGTTTTTCGAGTTGAATGTTCACTCAACTTTCGTAGTGGAATAATTTGTTGAAAGCACTCATATAGATTTCCAATTATTATTTAGGTATGCAGGCATATGCATCGGCACCTCCTTTCATCATCAATCCACAAGATACCTACGGAGCAATGCAACTGCCAGGTTCAGGTGCTATTATTATCAAACTACATTTTTATAGAACTGTTAATAACTGTGAACAAATTTTTAGGACCTTCAGCTGTACCGCAATACTTCAGTCCGCAACCACCCTGGGGCATCTACTTAGCAACACCCATGCACCCACAACAACAGCTGCAACAGCAACATCAACAACTGCAACCTCAGGCTGATTCTGGTCATTTGCAACAGTTGCTGAGAAATAGGTCAGCCACCTCACCGCTTACTGACCACAGCTCACAACTACCATCACAAGGTTAAATTTTCATTATGGTCTTCAGTTGATAGTATCAACTCTTAGTGCATTCTTTTAGTTTGAGATTATTAATCTTAACTTTAATGGTGGTCAAAAAAGTTAAACTTTATTTTCACGAATTTTTAAAATCTTCAAGTTCGGCTTGGATTTATTTTTTAACATAATAACTAAAGTAATATTTATTTGTACATCATTATTAACTCATCGAACATTCACCGAGTCAATTGTATTTCAGGTTCAATGCACAGAAATATTTTTGATTCAAGCTAGAATACCTACTTTTAAATACTAATTACTTGTAATAACTCAAGAGCATTGATATTTTAGCATGATAGATTGTATAAATTTTCAACGTTATATTCCATGTTAGACAATCTCTTGATATAATAACCTCCTGTTTACATTACGACTTTAGCAGCTTCACCATCAGGCAACTACCAGATCCTCACTCCTGCCTTCTACGACCAGTCTGCAGGTTGGTAGTTGTCTTCAATTCAATTCAACAAAACAAAATAGAATAGATGACATTATAGTTTTGTTATAGATGGCAGACTCACTTGCAAAGCACTCTCTGATATGAAGTACATTTTTACACCTTATTTCATAGTGATAAAACGTGCTGAGATATAACAATCTTCAGATGAAAAAAGCAAAAGTTGTAGAAGTATAGGACAAAAAATTTTGGATATAGAAAATTGAGTTAGAAGTGTTTGCAAAATTAAGCAATTTTGAGAATTTAAAAATTTAACAAATAGAATTTAAGCTGAGCACAAACTGTGATAATTTATTGTCCACTTTCTAAATTCATGAAGCTTATTTATTTTATTAGCAAACTGGTATTCATTTTTGGGGTAAAAATGCGTACATATGATGGTTGATTGTCCTTTTGATTTATTTTTTAATAATGGTACTGGCTCTTATATAGGATTTGTATTTATAAGCAATATATTGAATAACACGTTATTCAAGCAACATCTTGAACACCAAGTCATTTACGCAACATGTTGAACACTTAGTATCTTGAATTACTAGTTTTTTTAATCCACAAGAGAGCATTATAACGAATTTTTGCTGCTGTTCTGCTGTAATCTATTTTACCTCAGAACGAAACAACATAAATTTAATTTAATTAAAAAATTATGTTCTTGTGCTGTTTTTTTTGTTTTTTTTTTTAAATTGATTAGTCTAATTTTTTGTTAATGGTTGTATTATAAAATCGACAGGTCAGTTCATGTTGAGTGGGGCTGGTCGTGCACTTGGAACACCTGTTCGATTGGTTTCACCGGCATCCACAATTCTGGTCAATTCTGCCACTGTTCAACAAGGTACTTACTCTCTTCCTTCAATTTTGTACTTTACATCATTAGTAATTAAACAAATCTAATCGTTGACCTGCATTGGGTTTATTTGCATTATTCACAATAAAAAATCGTAGATAATTAAAATGTTGATTGATTAACATTCAGTGCAATCAGAACTCATTTATATATTGTATTTTGTTGTTACACTTAATGATATAGGTTATGCACAGCACAGTGGTCTGTTCACTCCAGTTATCAGCACACCTCTCAGTTTGACTCCTCAGTCAGCTGGCAGAATGGCAACTGCAGCCTCCTACCAAGACACATCCTATCCTCAAGCAAATATTGGTGGGTACAGTTTTCACTTCGGTTTTTTATCTCATGCATATCGTGTTTTTCTGTGCATATATATATATATATATATATATATATATATATATATATATATATATATATATATATAATTCAATTCAATAATCCTTTTATTTAGCAAACAAACACATGCGATATATATATATATATACACACATACAATAAATATATATATACACATACAATATATATATATAAATATATACCTAAGAGCAGGACCCATTACGGCGAAATTCCTTCAACCAAAAGCCAAGTTTTTGTCGGGTACAAACAGTAAACCTGAAATGTTAGAGCTCAATGTTTGACTCAGCAGTGGCAATGTTCATTGGAGCTTGCATAAAAGTAATAAAGGATCGACACAATCAAAGGCAGAGCTCATGTCTAAAAAAGCATGCAATGACACATTCTGAGCATCTGTGGAGGAATACCAATTAGGAGAAATATCCAATTAAACCGCCTCTGCCAAATTGAACTGACGATAACCAGATTGGTAAACTGGAAAAATTGAGTGACAAGTTGCTGTACATTAAATAACTTTAGACAAAAACACAAGGTTCAACACAAGCAGATAGCTTGAAATTTCATTTTCGTTCAATGTACTTTTTTACATAATAGAGCTTACCACGGCGTTTTTGAAAGCTAAAGGAAAAGAACCAGAAAGAAGACACAGGTTGATTAAAAAAGTAAAATATGGCAGAAACAGATCGATATACTTCTTTATAATCTGTGTGGGTAAACAGTCAAGGGAGCATGATTTAGTAGGTGTGTCAAGTATAACTTTTTTAATATAATCACTAGAACAAGTTAAAAAGCTAGAAAATGGTAAAATTTCCTGTAAATTGCAAGGAGTCAGAAGCTGTCTGACATGTTGCATTGCAAATCTAAGCAATCTTTTCGCTGAAAAATCAAGAAAAGTCTGAAGCATCAAATTCAACCCCAGAAAGATCGGCACGATCTTTTCCAAGTTATTTGTTAATATTAGACCAAAGATGTCTAGGTCAATTATTGCCAGAAGCAACGAGATTTTTCCACTAATCATTTTTTTAATGGCGAATAAAGTACTCTTTTCAGCAAGATCATGCCATCAGGCCTTTTTATTTTTATTGAAAGGGTCGGCTTTTTATAAATTGAACAATTTTCAGAAAATTCTAGAAAGGAAAATTGGAAAGACAAACTTTAAATTGATTAATGCCAATTCGGTAGATTTCATACTACACAGTTTAAAGTATAGTCTCCTTCCAACATGTATATATATATATATATATATATATATATATATATATATATATATATATATATATATAATATATACATATATATATAAATATTTCAAATTGTTCTGAAAACACCAGCTGCGCAGACTCGCGAGGCGTTCGAGGGTGTTAGTGGTGAATTTAAGTCCCGCCACTTCAATCCGCAATATAACACCATGTCACCTGGAAGTGCATTTGCTTGTGTTCCTCCTCCTCCCATCAACCAGCCCATCAATCCTCCGACTAATCCTGCCACTCATCCTAATGTTTCTTTTGGAGGTATTCCTTTTTCACATTTTTCCTGTTTTTATTTTTGATTTGTCTACAAATCATCAATTCTTAGATGACTGTCCGTTTGGATAAACTGATTTGATATTCCTATTTAGAAATTTGGTAAGGGTGTTATAAATTAAACATTTCTTGAAATCAGCGTTACCTATGGGTGGGCGATCTCAGCAACCGAACTTCTCAGCGAGCACAGGTGGACAGGAGAACAAGCAACATCGATTTGGATCATTGCCTCCATCCATGTTTCTACCATTGAACAGTTTCTCACAACCTCCGCCCAACACTCAACAGTTCAACGCCACTCAGTCACAAGCAAGCGGTAGACTTGCACAGCCTCATCAACACCAACAACCACAACAACCTCAACAACAACAACAGCAGCAGCAACAAAATTCTAAAACGTTGAATGGAAATATAACTAACAAAGAACAAAATGCCTCTGGTAGAAGCCAGTTGCTGGAAGATTTTCGCAACAACTTAGCAGTAAATTTGCAATTGAAGGATCTTGTTGGTCATCTTGTTGAGTTCTCCCAAGATCAACATGGGTCCAGGTTTGTAAGTTAGGGTTTTGTTTTTTTTTTTGTTGCTTTAGTTGTTCCTCTTGAGATAAATTCTTCCACTTGCAATTCATGTGTTGACTCTACTAATTAGATAAACATTCCTGTATCCCTAAATTAAATTAATTTACTTTCTGACTTGTTCTGCTTGCGTTTGAATTTGTATTTCGTAGAATTGAAATGATTTTGTAACTAATTAATGACAGATTCATACAGCAGAAGCTTGAGAGAGCAACGGCGCAGGAGAAACAGATGGTGTACAATGAAATTTTGCCAGCGTCCTACAATCTCATGACTGACGTCTTTGGCAACTACGTCATTCAAAAGTTTTTTGAGTTTGGAACACCAGAGCAGAAATTAGGTCTGGCGCAAAGGATCAAGGGTCATGTTTTGCCCCTGGCATTGCAGATGTATGGTTGTCGGATAGTTCAGAAAGCTTTGGAATCTGTCCCGGCTAGCATGCAGGTTATTTCAAATTTTAATTACTCATTACATTTGTATTGCTTTTTAATAGATATTCATTTTAATTATTGCAATTTACTACGCATAACACGATTATGATCACTGTGTCGTCCATTCAATGACAATGCAATTGGAAAACAAAATGTTACCAAGCTTCTATTTGTCTGTTGATTATTTTCTTTCACAATTTTCTCAGCTGTTTTGTAAGGTCCAAATTTCTTTGAAAATATGCTCTTCACTCAATCGTAGGTCATTGGTGAAAAGAAATAAGATTTGTAATGATAAATTAATTTTAATTTTGTTTATCTTCCATTTAATTTTTTACTTGTTGTAGACTTGTTATGCTCGTTATGTTGACATAAATTGTTTATATTTTTGTAAGGTTGAAATAGCTAAAGAGTTGGATGGGCTGGTGCAGAAGTGTGTAAAGGATCAGAATGGCAATCACGTGGTTCAGAAATGTATCGAATGTGTCGAGACCAGTCAAATTCAGTTCATCATCGATGCTTTCAAAGGGCAGGTACGAACAGTTCATTCTTCTGCGTTCATGTTCATTTCAATCTTCCAACACCCTTCCATCATCCCAATTCCCCACATTCATTTGCCGCAGCAGTTGGATCACGCAGCATTACAAATACTAACAAACCACCTCACAAACAGGTGATGTCATTATCAGCTCATCCCTACGGCTGTCGCATTATCCAGCGTATCTTGGAGCATTGTTCTGCCGAACAGAAGGTGCCAATCATGGAAGAGTTGCACCAGAATTGTGATTTCCTCATCTCTGATCAGTATGGTAACTACGTCATCCAGCACGTCCTGGAGCAAGGCAAACCAGAGGACAAGGCAAAGATTGTGGCCAAAGTGAAAACTAAAGTCCTTCAACTCAGTCAACACAAATTTGCAAGGTTATCCTTTCTCTTTCATTTGTGTTTAAGAAACTGTTTTCTAAATTAAAATCATGTGTTTTAATAGGTTAATAGTTGTTACTTTTTTTTTGTTTTTTATGCAATGCAAGTAAATGGGATAAAGAAGTGCTGATGTGGTAAGCTGAACTACCAGTTGAAACAAGCTGGGAAAAGGAAATGATAATATGATATTGTTTTAATCGTTTGTTTATATATTATATCTTATTACAAATTCAATTAATAACATGATTATGTGCAAACTTTGATCGTCCACTTGAGCAGTAATGTGATGGAGAAGTGTGTGGCCTTTGCCTCACTACCTGACCGTACACAACTCATTGATGAAGTCTGCAATGCACCTGATGGGTCAGTTGTTTTTGCTGCTGTTGTGGTCGTTGTGTAGGGCTGAACATTTTTGTTGTAACATTTGCTGATGCTGTCGTTGGTGGTTGGTTGATTTTTGTTGTATTGCTTTTAGGCTGGTTTTTAACTGATACGTTTTTTGTAAAGCGAAACTCGTTTTTCAGTAACACACCCAGCATTATTTACAATTTTACTTTAGTTATTGAAAGGCAAGATCAATATTTTGTACTACTCTAACCCCCTTATCTGGTTTCGGGTTCAAGGTTTAACTTTGCGGTGTTTCTCTTACTTTACTACCCTTTATAATTAATTTCATCTTGAATAACCAAACATTTATATTATATATACTAAGAATTTCTAAGTTAAAAAGCAATTCACATTTTAATATTGAAATATTTGTGGGCTTTCGTTTTCTTTACTTTAATTGTAATTTAATTTTGCAGACAAAACTGTCCTCTGTACATAATGATGAAAGATCAGTTTGCAAATTACGTGGTCCAGAGGATGATCGACGTTGCCGACGCCAAGCAACGCAAACAACTCATCTCCAAGCTGAGACCTCACGTCGCCATACTACGCAAATTCACTTATGGAAAGCACATCATATCCAAGCTTGAGAAGCACTATGGCAAGTCGAGTAATGAGATCCCTCCGATTGGAGCTGGAGCACCTGTTTCCGCCAATGCCGGTTGTTGACCCGTTTGTCTTTTTATATTTCTGTCTGTTGATTCATCGTTGCTGGTGGTGCTGCTGCTGGTGTATCGATGAAGGGTCGTCTGTCTGTCTGTCTGTCTGTCTGTCTGTCTGTCTGTCTGGTGCTCATTCAAAAACTCCATTGCGTCGTGTCATGATGTGTGATGCTGCATGTTGACGTTTTTATGCCACGTATCCGGGCGCGTGCGTGCAAAATAAAAAGGAACATTTTTAATGCTTATATATTTTACAAGTTTGCGAACATTCACTGGAAGGAAGGTTTCAAAGTTGGCGTGAGATTATAGCATTTGCTTGGTTTCCTGCGGTAGGCTATCAGGCTGTCGGTGTCTTGTAACGCTGTCGCAAAGTTTTACTTGAATAACTTTCGACAACGGTTGTCTCTGATTATTCGGTTGCATTGCGCAAAAAAACATATGACTTACTTGTTCATGTTCTGTCTTGGCATGCAGTGTTATATAATAAGTCTTGCTTGTTCATGTGTATATATATATACATATATATATTTTGGTAACAGACTGTTGTTAACGCAACATTTCAAAAATTCAACACTACTTTCAACATTGGTTGAAATTAGTAGTTGAAAGTAGTGTTGAATTTTTGAAGCATATATATATATATATATATATATATATATATATATATATATATATATATATATATATATATATATATATATATTCTCTCATTAATTTGGCTCCTTAAATTTATTTTATTTTATGCTATTCTATTGAATGTAATCGTACATTTAGTTTGATTACATTTATTTTGTAACCTATCTTTGGTTTGGTTTTCAAGACTTTTTATCATGTCATTAGATTATATCATATAATCAATCACTTTATTGTATAAATGTTTAAATAAATATGCCTGTTCATACTGCTTGTAAATAGGAATGTATATAAAATATTCGCTATTATATCGGTACACAAGGATGATTCATGTCAACATCCAGTGGAGTTGTAATATTGTTTGTTGCGGGGATTGTACATAAGGTAGAACTGGATCATCGTGGTTACTTAATAGATAATATATTACTAATGTTATTTTGCCTTCAATTCATTATCAGGTTACTATAAATGAAATGAAACGTAAGTAAATGTTCTTACGTGAGTGTAAATAAATGTAATGAGTGTGATTGTCCTACTGTAAAGTGGCAGTGATTGTATTGGATGCACAATTAATTAATTGATTGATTGGTTGATTGGTTGATTGATTGGTTGATTGATTGATTGATTGATTGATTGATTGATTGATTGATTGATTGATTGATTGATTGATTGATTGATTGATTGATTGATTGATTGATTGATTGATTGATTGATTGATTGATTGATTGATTGATTGGATGCGCACTACAACACGACACGATGGTGTTTGATAGTTTGCCTCTTTTTTTATACTGTCAAGTAGCATTCACTTTTGAGTTGGTGGATAGTGACAACTTTGAATTTTTGATTGCAGTGCTTATCCTTAAAAACTTAAATGTTTAATTTCATCTTTGAAAAGATGTCTTACTACTGATCGTTTAACTGTTATTGTTATATGTTGTTTGTTATAATCAGTTTTTATTTGTAATTACCTTGATAAGGGCCGATGTACATTTGACAATGAAAAATTTTGAAACTTGACATAATGTTATAAATTAACTTGTGATCTAAGCCAAGAATGTATATGCATTGTCGTTATGCAGAGAAAAACAGAGAACAATTCTTATCACATTCTATGCATGGACGTGTTGCAAAACGGGCCAAACACTTACTTGCGTGTTTAAGCCGATCGTGCTATACAATGTTAATAATTTGGAAATTACTTTCAAGTATTACTATTATTGATACTATAGCGACATCCTAGATATGATAAATGTACAATAACCAGGCTGGTTGTTTTCATTCGTTTAAATGGCTTGTACAGTCTTTTAAAATACATACTCGCGCAATTGTAATTAATTTTTTATTGTCCTATGTTTTGATTTCGAGGGTGTTTTACTTTTTAACTTTTGGTTTATCAGTTTATATAATAATTATCATTATATTTAAATTACTATTTGCCCTATTTAAATTGATTGTTCAATCGGTTGCTGCTTGCATTTTATGAAGGGACGGGCATTGCTTTGGTTGGTGTCCCTCATTTGAAAATATGAACCCTCTAAATTTCCTTATCACCCATTTTTAAAAAGTTCAACGTTCTCGATCAACATTTTTTTTAGAAATTTAAAAGGCTAACGTTTCTTAAATTTTCGAAATAGATGGTCGATTGTTTTAATCACTCAATTAATTTTGTTTGGAACTGTGTAATCTATTTATCTGCATGCAAAATTATCTTCAACAGTCTGCTCTATGTATATGTGTATATATATATATATATATATATGTATATATATATATATACAACATTTTTTTGTGAGTTTGTGTGTGTGTATATATATATATATATCTATATATATATATATATATATATAGTGTGTGTATGTAACGACGTTTGTGTGTCGGCGTGTGTGCGGCTTGTGTGATTGCTGCTAACTATTGAGTTCTTTAATTGTACGTCATTGGGGTAGTAGAGAGTGGCCACCTGTTTCTGAATGATGTCGCCTCATGCATTGGACGCTGTTCGTGAAATCTTGAAGGACGTTTGGTCTTGATGGAATAAAATGTTTCTCGTGAACAATTCAATCTCGTGTTATCATTTATAATTAGATGCTATTTTTAGGTTAAGACGTGAAATGTTTTTGAACCCCGCTTAAAGTTCCAATAAGTTTTACAATAAAATTGTTGCTGTCGCAATATGTCAAGGTCAAAATGTGGTCGGCCAGCAATGTCAAAGGTTGATGGGGATAAAATGCCATATCATGTAATTCGCGGGTACGCTTGCTATCTCTAAACTCAACTGCACCTTTAAATTATTGAATTGATAAATTGAAAAGATAACTCTTTAGAGATATTTTATTGACAACTAGTCTGTCACGTGCAATCAGTTCTCCCTTTTTGCACGCACACAAGACAATAAATAAATAGATAAGTATATACAAAGTGCATTTATTAATATATATTTGATTCCTTTGCTAAGATAAATTCATCAAGTCAATGGAATTTCAAGAATTCAATGAATCAGCATCTTTAGTGGGTTTCTTATGGCATGTTGGTTAATTAAATTTTTAACGAAGTGAATAATGAGAATTAAAATAATTGAAATAATCTGCGGATGGCTACGACGACGATGGCGATGCAGTTTTCTGAGTGATCGTGAAAGCGTCAGGGTAGCGGTTGCCAGGGCACAAACAGAAGCACTGTCAATTTAAAGGTTTTTGGTCATTATACTATAAAAATGCATCTTCAGTTAGTATCATACAATAAAAAAAAATTTTGGAATAATATGATCAAAGAAAAATTTTCCATTTTAACCACGTCAACAAGAATGGGCGAGGTTTCAAAATATTTTTATCACGGTGTGACAAGCCGCTTTTCAGATTTCTGTGCTTTGCGACTCAAAACTGCAATTCAGGCTTCATGCACGCGGTTGTTGTGTGTGTGTGTGTACGTTGTTGCCAATATTGCATACGCACCTACACAAACAAGCATTAAATCATTTAGACGCCTTTCAATTAATCTTCTTCGCAACATCCGTTCAAATTAGGCCTGCATTATTTATGCATCGCTCTCCGATATTCTGGATAATTCATTACTCCTATGAACCGCTCCGTAATTTTGGACAAAAATAAATTTATGTTATAAAATTTGATTACTCAGCAAGAAATTTTTACTTTATCAGTGTGGAGGAGTATGGTGTCAGCTGGTGGATTGGTGATTACGTATCTTCTGACAGATGTCAATTTTTTCGAATTAAGTACTCGATACAATCCAATGCATAGTGACTCACAGTTTTGCAGGACGTGTAGAAATAATTCTTGGTAACTTTTGCTCTGAATTATTTGCAAGAACAAATTTCTTTTGTAAACTATTTTGCATTGAAAGAACCAATTTTATCAATTCACGAAAGATGTTTGGCTAAAATTTTATTGCATTTGAAGCAGTTTAAAGCATGTTATAAGAAAATTTTTCGCTGGCATATAGAACATTCTTATTAGATTTAATCTGCAATTCTAAAGTGCTTTGCCCTGACATGTTTTAGAATTGAACAAAATTTTCGCGGTTAAATTATTGATTAACTACTTCCATAGAATTCCTTGAACTAACGACGAATTGAAGAAAAGGGTTATCAGACAACGCAAACTGCGTAACTTTACAACGTTCTCTGTTGATGATGGTCTCTGAAGTTATATCTCCACATTCCAAAGTCATGCCTTCCGCCAATATCTGCTCCAAGTCTGGAGTTGAACCGCCCGTTATTAAGGTTCTTATCAATGCCAACGAGTTGTTATTGAAATAGGCCTGAAGAGCATGAATTTTTTGGGTTGATCAATTTTCTCTTATTTATTCTGCATAGCAAATATATAATATTTAAATCATTTAATGTTTTATAAAGTGAACACAAAGTTGACAAAAGCTATAATAATAATAATGTAAAAAAGGTTAACAGATATTTTGTTTAAAATTTATTAAACTCATCCGGCGAAATAATTTTATAACATGGAATCCAACGAAAGAACAAAGAACAATAAAAACCGACCGTGCTCATAATTGAATCCAGCACGCTGACAGTGAATGCGGTACCGCAAGCAAATGGTTGGGACAGATACAATTCTGATGGTGTGTCGTCATCATCTTGCTCCACATACTTTATGTTCATGTCACTATCTGCAAGTAATTTTGCTGAATTAATTACATTCACACGCTGCATCGAAATCTTTATATTTTTTAAATCAAATCTAATCAAAAGATTTAAACGTAACCACATTTTGTAACAACCTAATTCAGTAATCATCGTAATTTCCGATCCTTTCGCCACTCCCTTCATCACTGAACTTGTTTTATCTTTTGCACCTTAATAAATTTAATTTTTTTAATTTCTTAACCTAGTTAACTAATACATGATTGAAACAGTCGACTTATGAAAAGCCGGAAAATTTCGACAACTCTCTTGCTTCTAAACTGAACAAAGTTGACTAACTGGCTGACACTATTTGCAAATTTTTCCTATTTGATTGTCCAAACACCATGGCCTGGATGTTCAATGAACACAAGATGGCCTCCTTGTCGACGACCGTGCTCACTTCGGTGTAACTTTTCTTGGCTGTCAAGATGACGCAGGCATGGCAGCAGTTGATGTTGACGGTTCTCAATAACGATCTGTTGAAAGGCGATCCCTGTATTTAGAGTTACATTTGATTATTTGATCAAACTTACTTACGTAAACTCAAATTCTACATTTAAAATCAATTTAACAAGAGGAGCACTTAGCCGTACAAATATCATGTAGAGTTTCGGGTAGTTGCATAGTAGCTTCCATTCCTTCCTCAAATACTCGGCTTCTCCAATTATGACAATGGGTTTTAGCTCTTCGTAATGAAAATTGCTGGCTCTAAGAGGCATGACAAAATTTTGCAAGCCTACCAGAGGCGAGTAGGACTCAGCGAACAGACAAACAACGATGTGGTTCGACATTTCTTCCGCCTCTTTTCGCGTCTACAAAACACAATTTAAAAATTTTGATTACATTTTTTTTGTATTTTTATTGTTAACAAATAATTAAATCAAACGGTAAATTTTAGAGCATCAGCAGGTAAGTTAATAAATTTCACGGAAAGAAAGACTTGTGAGGAACAAACAATGACGCAGGAGAGGAAGAGCTGATCAGGACACCAGTGGAACATTCCTGTTGAATCGAACTGGCATGGTCCCTTGGCCGTGCACTCAACTGTCAAACTTTTTGAATTGCCTTTAACTTCCGATTTCAAGTGTTTTCTGATAAATTCAAATTCTTTAATTTTATATACTGCAATATAAACATTTTTCATAATTTTTGTTAATTATTGTCAAAATTAATATGAAAAAACACGCAACAGACTTTTGTGGTTTGAATATGTCGTTAACTTCGCACACGCACACAGGATCTTTCTCAGGAGGACTTACGCATCCTAGAAATAATTTTGTGTGGATTAGTTAGCAGGGATAGTGAAAAAATAATTAAATAATTGAACCTACCGCAACAAAATTTGTTACTCCTTAAACTGTTGACACCCGGCAGACAGTACTTGCAATAATAACTGGCTCTGTGCAAAAAAGTTAGTTGAAAGTTGTAGATTAGCGTGTGACCAATTATAAAAACATTCAGAACGTATACAAAAATGCGTGCGTGTAAGTTTAAATCGGTCAAAGAATGTAAAATTTTACAAATGATTAAGTATGAACTTGAATAAAATTTTTTAAAAATAAAAATGTAATATTGACATTTTGACATCATTGGCATTCTGGGCGACAAAAACTCCATTTGTGTAGGGCTCGATGCGAATGGATGGACCCGGGTTGATGGCGATGTATTTTTCATTCGAGTCCTCCTTCGTTGCCTCTATTGCTATCAACAATATTTTCAACTCTTGGAAGCAGATCCTGAAAAAGAATGATGATCCTGTTGACATGTTACAATGACGCCACAGTGCACATCACGTCAAACGGTGCCGTAGTGATCGATCACAATTTTAACAAAACAAAAAAAATTGTAGAAAAATATTTGGTACATAATAAAATATGCAAGTTATACGTAATATGATTTTCTTTTTTATTTTTCATAATGCAGTTCCGACAGAGGCAGAACTGCTTACATGTTATTCTATACTTATAATTAAACATTCGTGCCACTATCCACTAGCCACAGGACGCACATACACATAACGTATGCACGCGCAAGCTCTGCTTCATACGCGGATGATAATCTTTGAGTTTTGGTATTCGAACCATGCCCTCTGGTAATAGAAGCGTGAGACGTGGCACTTCTATCGACTGAGCTAATCTTCAATTAACAATGAGGTTTTCAAAAATTAAAAAAGCAAATTATTTCGAAATGTGTTTATGTAATGTTGTACACTTGCAACCAGTTACAGGCAGCAATCAATACGAGTGCATAATTTTTTGTTTCGTTTTAATGAATGTTTTTTTTTCGTGTACGTATACTGAAGCTTCATACATGTCCTACATTTAATCATACATGCGTTGTCTATGTATTATAACCATGTATCTACATAGATTTCGTTCATGCTAGGCAATTCAATGTAATGCACTTAAAGATAGTGAGGATGGCAACCACACTGAGGTTAGATAATTTAATTAATACAGATTGATGTATCTAGATGCAAGCCTTTTAAATCCAATTAACCTGCTATTTTTAAATTTTAATAACTATTTAATAACTAAAAAGTAAAAATAATTAAGCTAATTTTTGAAACCAGACTTCAAAATTGAAATCAATTTAATAACAGTTAACAGTTTAGATGTCCATATAATCATTTGGTAACAATTGATTTTTGGCAATCTTTCTTCATGCACGCATTCATCATGGTATTTTGTAAAAGATTTTTCATTATAATTATTCATTTTTATTTTATTGTTACTTCGTATGAACATCTTCAATAATATAAATAGTATTAATGACTTATTGTTTCTAAGTATTTTATTTTTTTTTTACACAAAAAAGGCTTCTAATTGAATTTATAAATATTGTTATTATATTAATATAATATATTGTATTAATCTTGAGTGCGTTTTAATGAAATCAGGCTTTGCGGAATTTGTTCTACGTATTTTCTTAATTTGCATGGCTTCACTTTAGTAAATGTTCTACTTATGATTCATTCTGCTTTAAAACTTTTCATTGTTTGCAATGAAAAAATATTGTTTTAAAGTTACTTTAATATAAATTTTATAAACCTTTTTGCTTTTTTCGAATTAATTATAAATGAATATTTGTCAAGTAAAAGAATTGAAATAGACTCATCAGTGAACAAAACATACACAATACATACACAACACACACTGAAATGCAGAAGCACATGTACGTGCAGGTATTTGTAAAACTGCATGCATCAAACTTACGCCGGGATACAATTTTCCTACATACCAAACGCATAACCAAACCATGTGTTTATTGCTTTACGATCAAACAATTTATCAAGAGCTGCATTATTTATAACTGAAGAGGCAATTGAAATGGTTAAGTTGTACGGATGTTATCAAGAATATTTGTGAAACTTTCTAATTTTTCTAGATTTTTATATTGGTAATATTTAAAAGTTATTTAGAGAGAGACAAAATAAAAATTAAACAAATCAAACCATAAAACAAACAATAAGTAGATAAGTCAACCAAATATATTAACAAAAACAAAATAGTTACTCGGCAGCTTCTGGGAAAGTCATCCCAATGAAAAATTTGGAAAGTTCGATGGAGTACATTTCCATTCCTGAACCTCTTTTGTATGCGTGCAGCCAGGAGCCGTCATCGCTATCTGACTTGAAACAACAATTAAATATATCATTATATATTTGACAACATTTTCTTCTAACGCACGAGTTATTAGCATTAACAAGATAACCAGATTAATCAACTAACCAATCATTTAACTGATTAACCAACCAGTCAACCAACCAACCAGCCAACAAACCAATCAATCAACCAACTAACCAACCATCCAGCCAACCAACCACATTATAGGACCGCATGGTGAATAGATTGGCCATTAATGTTGAGAAGCCAGGAGCAAGACAACTTTGAGCAATAAATCCCAGCTTAAGCTCCGACAAACAAATTGCATCATCGCCTTTTTCCCAGTTCCAACTCGGAATGTTCATTAAGTAGGTCTGTGGTTGGGATTATTTGCAAGATTTCATTAATTTGCAACATTTTAATTTTTCTACATTTAAAAGCTACAAAATATTTAATCTTTTTAAATAAAAAAAGAATTTATTCTAAAATTTAATAAATCTTTCAAACGAACATACTATTTTGTACAAATTGAAAAAGATTGTATTTGACTAAAAAATGAATTACCTTGCTGTGGTACTGAAGCAGCTGTATGATGACTTTGACGCCAGCAACAAAGTTTTTGACGCTGATGACCCTCATGATGTTGGCTGCATCTTCTGCATCGACGTCCAGGCAGTACTTGTCGGCCAGGATCAAACAGGCGTCGGCGGTTTTCAGCTAATTGGTATAAAGTTTCAAATATTGCAAAAAAATATTTTTTAAACAATTTAATTGGTTGAAATATTTACTTGAGCTCTGATCAAGTCATCTGGATTCATGACATTTCCTTGAATGTAAAACACTTGAACGTAGTATTTCTTCAAGATGCGTTGTAACTCAAAATCAGGCTCTTTGCTGTCATTCAAAATGATATAAATTCAAATTTTTAATCGAACAATATGTTATGGCAAAGATGTATAATATTGAATTTCACAGAAAAAACTCAGCAGCCCGAACAAACCGGTTCATGATGACGACATCCACATCAACTTCCTCGCGTTCTGAGTGCAAGAAATCTGAAATGAAGGAGTTAACGGAGTCAGATGTTATGTGTCCACAGAGTACCACGTGCCTGCATGGAGTTGGCAAATAATACCATTAACTTTTATATTTTTAAACATTAAAAACGATTTTTCAAAAATGTTTGCGTAATTAATTTAACTTATTTATTTCATTTATTAAAAAGACCGATCTTGCAAATATTTCAAATCATCGAACGGACCACCGACCTTCGGCAGCGCTCCTTCTTGTAGGGCTCTCTGTAGCGACTCCTCTCACTCAGGATCTCGGCAATCTCCGGCACGAAGCTAGCAAACATGGCCTGCATCGTTCGAGTAAGTTCAACCAGTTAGTTACTTCTGTTGCAGCTTGCTACAACTTATTACATATACATAAACCTTGGCACTAACGCAACCAGCGGAGTGCAAGGCTGTGTTTGCAAATGTTCAAAGATAAGATGAAAATTTTAATATATTAATGCTACAGCGATGCAGTGAAAAAAAGAATGATTTTGGTACATTTATGAGCAAACTATTTTATAATGGGATAAAGGCCGCTAACTGTTGTTTGCACACCCAAACAAATTTTCTAACAAACAAAGTTGAGGCCTCTGCAACTCCATCCTTGACTAGAAATATGAAATGAATAATGCATCTACAATTACATCCTATTTGAATTTGTAATTAATTATTTAATTAAATAAACAACGATATTATCAACAAATATTTTACACGTTATACACATTATTCAAAAAAGTTGAAAAAATGTTTTAATTTTTCATTTTCAACAAGTTGAGGCGACAGCACTAAATACTTGTTGCGATGTTGTCAAGTAACAACAAGAGGTTAATAAAGCGTGTACAAATCACTTATACGTTGCTATATACCCTGCACACATACATGTACGTATTTCCTAGGATTCACCACTACGTAGCCTCACACGCAAACACTTGCTTATGTACGCAAACTCGCAAGTAAAGAAAAAAGTGGGCCAATGCCACATCGGCAGAAAAAGCGTGAAAAAAACTGCTAGCTATTACACGCACACGCACACACACAAGAACCCACCGACACGCGTTATCCAACACACACACACACACACACACAAGTACCCACCGACACGCATTATCCAACACACACGCGCACACACACACACAAACAAAAACACACACACAAGTACCCACCGACACGCATTATTCAACACTATCCAAACATTTCCTTACCACACAGCAATTAAACAATCATGACTTTTATACAGTTGCAGTTGTGATTGTTTTTCTAAACGACAACAGCATTATGAAAATTTAATGATCGCAACAACAATAACATCGTTCAGACGCTCGGCTCTGCAATAGGAAAATTAATAATAGTAAAACACTCCGACCAATGAATGCTGATGAATTATTGAGTATCGTAATCATATCACAAGACCTTCACGAATATAAGGTAAGAAAGTTCTCAAACTGTTTTTGTGTCAAATAACGACATGTGAATGGTTTTGTCAATCATTTGCGATTAATAGGCCAATTTTTTATAGATCGTATTTCCCAAATTTCAAAAACTTTTGTATGGCAATGTACAGGAAACCTCCAGCTTGCATTTTGAAAATTTAGTTTTTTGTAAACATTTTTTGAAAAAATAGCTCACGTACGCTAAGAACCATAGCAAAACCAATTAAACATTTGAATTCCGCCAGCAAAACAAAAAACCTGACCACAAACTGAAAATAACTGTGTGGCATTCATTGCACATTTCAATCAAGCATGCATTTTATATTTAAATCAACAACAACCCATCAGTGTTTCATAACAAGAAAGTTACGTACGTTCAAAACTGTTAACGTCATTAGCGTAGGTACTTGCTATATTGCCAATTTAAGTGCTTTCATTGTTGATGGAAATATTTCGTAACAAAATGATAATTTCATAATTCATTAATGTTGGTAATAATATCAGTTAATAAAATTATTAATTATTAATTAATCAGGTATTAATAATAAAATCAGTTTTATTTTAATGCTTCAACAATTGATTCATTGACCAACTCGTTTGAAAACAGAACGTTAAACAAACAAATTTCATACATCACATCAAATCATTCTTTTTCAACTTTGATCAGAATAACTTATTTCATTAATTTATGGTTCGAATTTTGTTAACAATTAATTTTTTTACCGTTAATTTTATTTTTCCATCTATTTGAATAAAATTTAATCAGAGTATACATTTAAGAGCCTTTTAGGTTAACAGCAGATGGGAACAACGATAAGATGGAAAGTGATGGCGAGATGAGGAGGATGAAGATGAAGAAGATGCTCAAGGTTGCTGATGCTGACATGGCTGGATATTGATGGATATTATTGATATGTATCACGATGTTGTGTTGCGTTAAACAACAACAATAACATCACTGCCAACTATTATCGTGAAAGCTGATATATAAAACAAATACTAACATAAAAATGTACCTTCCCTACATACTGGTGATTTTTTTTCTATCAGTCACGATAATATTTTTTAAACTATTTAAAATTGGTTTTTAGAAGATATTACAGCAAAACCAGATAAAACTGGATTTGATTGAATCTCATTATTTACAGCAAACAATTTCTCTGCCGCATTAAGAAGAAAAGAGATAGAGAGAGGATGGGAGAGAGAATTAGAGTAAGACACGGTTCAATAATATAAATAACATTGAACATATAAAAGACAAATAAAATAAAAACAATCCTTATCAAACGATACCTACCTGAATAATTTGCTACTGTTAATAACTGAAAAATTAAAATTTAGAAAGTTGCTTGTAATTGGAATGGGATTCGCGTGCAGCTACAACAATTACACATCCACACGACTGCAGGATATAAACCTCTATTGTCAACGTTAAGAGTTAATTTAAAAAGAAAACAACCTATTGATATTTCTAGTCGCAATAATTTTAAAATCAATTTTTTCAAATAACTTGAGCAATAAAAATTGTCCCAGATTTAAACATGTTTTATTGAAAGAATATAAAAATTACATAAAACATAAAATAACATAGAACATAAAATAACACATAAACATAAAATCAACAATCTATGAAACAAATGAAAATTTTCAATCATATTTAATTCATATTGAAATGTTGAAACCCGCACTTCAATTTAACTTTCTTATAAGCTCTTATAAGCGAGGTTCAATCTATAATAACCTTCTGAAAATTTGAAACGTATAACGTTGCAACAGCAAAATTATGCGTAAGACTTCCTACCATTTCATGTGCCTGCAGTCAGGAGCTACGCAGCAGAGCCTTCAAAGTGACAAACACGAAAGCAAGATCATATTGAAGATCCTCAATAAAAATGACGTAATAAAACATGACAACAACATCCACCAAGCAATTTACAATATAATCCCCATCAGTCCCCAGAAGGAAGAAGTCCACCAATCAACAGCCAGCACCTCGCTGCTGATGATCTGTAAACAATTTAACGCATATGGGCGTAGTAACTCAACAGATATAACTGCACACGTGAACAAACAAAATTAAACAAACGTAAAACCCTTCAGTTACCCTTTATTTATACAAGTGTAGCGTAAATATACATACCCACATATGCATACAGAAAAACATACTTACATACATGCATACATAGATACAAACAAACATACAAACATACACACACACATGTACATACATACCTACCTACCCATATTATAGAAGATCTTCATTATTGATGCAATCGTTATAAACATCGCAAGCTAAATGATCATTAATAATAAAATCTGCCAATAACTGGAGGGTAGGAAATAATAAAAATTATTGTTTGTTATGACGTTTGAAGGATCTATTATATTGAAACCAATGCAACCTAATACATCAGCCGAGCCCGCATCTTCTCACTTGTCAGGTTTTTAAAAATTCTAACGAGTAAACATCAACACGTTTGTTAAAAAACGTTGTTGAAACCTAATTAATAAACAGAATACTCTTCAATATACAGAGAACGTTAACTGGCAGACGACAAAACACAAGGCACGCCACTACCACCACCACCGCCGCCACCACCTACAAACAACATCTGCGCATCTTTCATTCGCTGAAAATGACGTCAACGAGTATGATCGTCCGTCAGCCAATGGCGGTTAAACATTTTTACATGCTTAATGGCAAAAAGTTGATGACATGCTAATATATGCAGAGGAACGTACAGGCCTAGGTTAACGAGTGAATGTAAGTTGGAAGTTTGTTAATAGGGAGAGCATGTTCATGTTAGGAGCTTGTTAATGTCAGGTGCATTGTTGATGTCAGGTGCATTGTTGATGTGAGGGGCATGTTGTTGTAAGGAGCTTGTTGTTGTGAGGAGCATGTTGATGTCGGGTGCATGTGGATGTCAGGTGCATGTTTATGCGATGTGTGCGTGGGAGTGTAGATTCTGTTACGACTGTTACGCACTAATTTTCACCATTATTCTGCCTATATTTTCAATTCAGTGATTAAAAGCATTCAAGCGAAAGGAGTTTTACAAAACAATATTTTTTATTCTGTTTAAGTTTGCACTTAAACTTTCGCAAATTTGACCGACCGCGTTAAGAACTTTACAGACATTTTAAAAAAGTTTTTAGCATGTTTCAACATTTAGCTAAGAGAAATCAACATGAATAAAATGCATTGGATAATAGAATAATACTAGAAACGTGTTAATAATGCACGTAAGACAAATGGGGAAATAACTGAATGACTGACCAGTCCACCGAGTAGGAAGATGACGTTGAAGATCTGGCCGAGGATTGTCCTGCAGACGACATCTCCGTATCCAACTGTCGACATGGTCACCACTGAAAAGTAGATGCACTGCCAGAAGGTCACCGACTGGCTGTTCTCGTAATTGAAAAACGGGTCGCCGGAGTTTTCGAGCTTTGAAGAAATGGAAGGAAGTCACTTATAGTATAAACGCAAAATTTCTTAAATTATGAAACCTGCTAAGACTGTTTGTTATTTGAGTAATAAACATCTTTAAATAAAACAATAAGTTCAGATTAAATCGAAAAAATTAAATTCTTAATTCATAAAATGAATAATTTAGGTGAACTAACCAGGTACATGAATCCAGATCCAGCGAACCACACGCTGATGAACGTGAAGACCAGCTGGCACAGGCGAGTGCTCGTCGTCGAATGCAACAAATTAAAAAACTGCAGAACATCTGGAACTGTCATCAAACGGAGGACCCGGAGGAACCTAAAACCTGGATAGACAGATTAGTGGATGGATGGATTGGGGGATGAATGAATGGAAAAGTTAGTAATGAGCTGAGCTGTCAGATGGATGGATAAACTGGTAAATAAATTGATGGATAAATGGATAGATTGATAAATGAACGAATGAGTTCATGGATAAATTGATGGTTGAATAAATGGATGGACAGTCAGATGGATTTTAATTGAACAGATAGATTGGTTAAAATTTTGGACGGACGTAAAAATGAAATAAAAAAATGAATAAGACTGATTGATAGATAATAAACTTGAACAAATAGACGGAAAATTTGATAAACTTACAAACGAAAAAATACGTAAAAATCAAATTTACACTTGAATATATTGACAAATAAATAAGTGATAAAATTAATCCCTCAATTTGATACGCAAATGCCAATTAGAGCAATATATCAAGATGCATGGATGTTACAAGTTACAGCTATAATTTGATAGATAGGTAGTAGATAGACGCAGATGATGGATTGATAAAAATGAGAAGAACAATCGATAAATGGATTGAAGAATAAAAGCGGATAGGCGAATGAAAAAACAAATGAACGTGCCTTTGAATAAGTTGATTATTGGATGAATGAATGTGAATAGTTAGAAACATCAATAATAATTAGTTCAACGATAAAATAACGTTTTGTGAATGTATAATGTGAAAATAAGTAGAAAGACATATATTGTTAAATCATGAATGGATGGCCGATGGCTCAGTGAGTAGATGGCCGATGGCTCATAAGTGATCGGTTTCAAATGCAAAGAAATTCTCTGCACGTGTGTTTTTAATGCGTTTGCTAAATTTAAGAAAAAACTTTTTCAAACCATAGCAAAGTTATGTCGTTTAAATTACACTGGTTAACGAGACATCTAGATATTTCAAAATGTTTACTCTCTATTTATTGGTCTATTTAGTTTTACCTAAATTTTTCTTTCAAGAATGAATGCATGTGAACATAGATGCTTAGATGAATTTTGCCAGTCAATAAAATTTAATTCAATGCCATATTTAAAGAACAACAATTTCGTTAAATTATTCAAATGTTATGTTGTGGTCGTCAAATAAATCTTATATTGCAATATATTTTATATTGCAAATCCAATTTTTTTCAAGTCACATTTATCGAATCTTTAAAAAAATGATTTGGAGACTAAAAAAAGAAAAAAATATTTATTATTGTAAAACCAAAGCAACACGAACTACCGCAACAACAAATAACATCAACAACAACAACAACAACAACATGATAACTTCTGCACTTACCTAACCAATTCCTGTTAAGGAAGACGGAAAGGATGCACGGAGGAATGGTGAAGTAGTCAACGATGGAGTAGACCTCCACCCAGAACAACAACTTGTCAGATGCTGCCATGAACTGATTTTAATTGTGTTTTTACATGCATGAATTCATCAGGTTACTCGCTTCATTACTTGCGCTGGTACAAAAATAAATTTTGCAATTAAATTTAGTTCATGTTGGCCAATTTGCTTCTAACAAAGAAAGAAGAGAATATTAAAAAATGTGTGGCCCAGTTTGAGAAGAAATAGTGAGTAATCAAATAATGAGGACAAGTTGGAGTTTGAATAAAAAAAGATTATAGTTCTTTAAAAAAATTATGCGAGAGACTGCGTTTCTATATGTGGAAAGAAGTTAACAAACCGAAGAAAGATTTGTAGAAAAAAACAACGATGTAGAGTTTATTTTGACTGGTTATAGTGAAAGGGACTTAGACTTTAAATGATGACCACTGGCGGATCTAGAGGTCCGGGGACCAGTGCCCCCTCGTTCGTTGTAAGCAGTTTTTATATTAAAAGTCAGTATAAAACTTGTCGTTTAAACGGGAAAAGTTTTTTTTATGAAAATATGAATGACGTGATAAGCAAAAAAAAGATCGTCAGTGTAATTTTAAACAGATGTTGGCCCACATTTACAAAATTCTCCTCCTCAGGTCAAAGTTTCATTTTTAAAATATAGGCCCTTCGTCAAAGTTGGTCAAGGTTATTTACGTAGAGACATCCGCCGCTGAATATGACGGATAAAAATATGGTAAAAATATGGATTGACAGAAAAATCTGAAGCCGGCATTACCGTTCTGAAAGTGCCTGGAAGAGGAATAAATGCATTTAAGAACTGACCAGGGCCTGGTAGTGACTGATGACGATACGAGTCAACATTTTGACAGATGATTCATATGGTATTCTTTATAAATATTTGATTAGATTCAACGCAGTGATGCTAAAGTTTACATTTATTATAAATTCCTGCGAGAAAAATTGCGGTTTCCATCATCGTCATTGTAATTGTTAAAATTAACATCGTAAACATCAATCTTCTTGCATTATTGGGTATGACAGGGGTGGGCAAACTACTGCCCGCATAAAAAAAGAGGTCGTCGGCCAGGCATTATGACCAAAAAAAAACCACAAATCTTAAAAAATTTTGATATGCGGCCCTTCAAAGGTAAAATAATTCTCAATGCGGCCCTCACAGCAAAAAGTTTGCCCACCCCTGGTGTATGATGATAACAAAGAAAAAACACCTGAAGTATGAAGTAGACGAGGAAAAAAATGTTGCATCCCAGGTCAACCTGCCAGGAAATGTGCAAACTCCACAGATCACATGATTCCATATTCAAACTGTAGTTGAAACGTTCATTATATCAAATATTTTTTTTATTAATTTTTTTACTAAACTGCTGCAATTGAAAAATAAATTTGTTTTTTAAATGTATTTATTTTCAGCTATTTTTTTACCTACGGTGGGGCTTTAACCGGTGTCGAAGCCAGAAGTAGGAGTGCTTAGATTAGAGATTTGGCAAGAGTCTATGACTTTTTTATCAATTCAACATTTTTGTGTACTAATTTATCATTTTGTATCTAAAATGAAATTTTATCTATCAACCAAAGTGTCGGAGTCGGTCGGAGTCGAAGATTTTTGCCGTAATCGGAGTCGGAATTTTTTGAAGGACTGGATGTCGGATTCGGATATTTATCATTCAACTCCGACACCTTGCTATTTAAAAATTTTCAAACTTTATTTTTCTGTGAGGACCACATTAATTAAAATTGAAAAAAAAACAATTTTGCAATAATTAATTTAATTTTTTTTTGCATTTTTAGAAATCTTCTATTGATAACGCATTTGCATTTAAACGTCATGAAGTAAACTCAATGAAAGTAGTACTCCTCGGTGAATGCCAAAATATAAATCAAATACAATGATGTTGTGATAGAATGATATAACGGAATGGCATGAAGGATTCTAAAAAATCGTCGTACTCACTATGGTGTTCACGCTAAAATATAATAAAAGTCGTAAAAATTTTGATTGCATTGTTATTGTCATCACAAAAATTGTTACAAAATTCATTAATGTTAGAAGAATGTTTGAAGCGACGTACCATGGTACATTAACTATAAAGACAGACTGCTTTTTAATACCGTTATGTATTTTATATTCTACTTCATTCTTTGCTTCGGTAGCTGAAAAATCGTTACATGGAAGTGTCTGGAACAATTTTCTACGCCGGCAGATATTTTTTCCATTGTTCTTTTTCTCATCTTCCGAATCACATTATGTTCAATCCTTTATTCACTTACCAGTTGCCATGACTGCCATGCTCTTTTGTTCGCTTTATTTGACGTTTAAGGAGTATCGAACCAGTAAAAACACAATACCTCAACGAGCACGAACACGCAAAAAAATTATAAATAAAAATAATTTTTACGTTAATTTTCATTTTATGCTTTGTTAGAACGGTTTATAACACTATTCAAACTTTTAATACTGAAAATTAAACTTTATTCTAAGAATTTGCTATTTATATTTATATATTTACAAAAGTTTAATAGTAATATATGCTGATCGAGTTAAAAATTGGTTTCACAATGCAACCATATGAATTTACTTATGTAAGATTTTCATCAAAGATCCTAAACATTGCAGACGGATTTGTTTGGTAAGGAAGGGCGCGAATAGCACGAAATAAATAAACGAACAAAATTTTTGCAGTTTAAAAATTATTACTCATATGAGAGTTGACTGAAACTTTTAACTCTGATTACCTGAAATTGTGTTAGCTTAGTTGATTTGATATTAGCTGAAAATATAAATAACATAAGACCATTTGACGTTTATTCAAAAAAAGTTTGATTGGTGAAATAAAAAATTATGTTATGCCGAAAAGATCATGAAATAAATAATTAATAAGCAATTAATAAATTAATCTAGAATGATGAATGAGTCTAACGTGTATGTGTCGATGAAGTATATGGTGAGTGAAGCCAGGCTGACCACGAGAACTAGAACCACCTGTGTGGGAAAATTTGTATTACAACTAGACAGTCAGATTTTAAGAAATTAACATTTAATGCAATGATGGTATTTCTTATAAAAGTAGTTTTACATCAAATATAATTTTTTTTTAAAATGACAACGTAAACTTATTTGAAAAAATTACCATGTGTTTGACTTGACGATGTGTGTGTGTCAGTTTAAATGTGATAAACTGGATAATATGTAATGATTTTATTTTTGCTAGCAGATAGAATGAAGTTAGTTTGTTAAAAAATTATTTTAGAGGTTTGTTCAAACTAGAAGTTAACAAATTGAAAATGTTTAAAAAATGATTTAAAACCACGTTCATTTGTGCAAACTTGTACTTTTCATCTCCACATCCATATTTACTTTTTATTGAGATGATGACACAATATAACTTATTCTAACAGGTTACTTTTTAACATGTAACATCATTCAGTTTACAAGTACACTGCTTTAATCAAACAAAAATAGAAAAATCGATTATTAGGTTTTTACTAGAGAAACAAACGAATGAACGAACAAACAAACAAACAAACGAAAAAATGAATAAATGAACGAACGAGCAAACGGACAGACGAACGAACGAACAAACAAATACTAAGTCTATAAAGGCAAAAATACTATTATTTTTTAATTGTTTAATTTAATTTTAACAGCAAATATTACTTATTGGAATGAAAATATTCCTTAATATTAGAATTATTATTTCAAGTTAATTTACATTAATTTGATCAAAATATTATTGCAAAACAATTGCTGTTATTAATTTAAAATTTCTGAGTGTTAAGGACATGACACGATTGAAACGTCACGTTGTAGTTGTGCATGTTTGTTGTTGTTGCTATTGATGATAAGGATGGTGTTGTTTTTGTTGTGCATGCAAGATGTTGTTGTACTGTTGGTTATTGATGTTTGGCATAACCTTGTTCAATATTGATGTTATATAGATACCAATGTTCATAAATGTGGATACATTTTTGCTATTGTTGTATATTGTTGTATTTGTATGTTTGTTGATATGTTTACAGTTACTAAACTACTAAACTGTTTACACACACACTACACACACACACACACACATACATGCAACATACAAACATATATTAAAACACATGCATATATACTATACACCCATTATATTGCATCTTTCCAATCATAATTTTATCCATGTTATATGGTTGCAATGGACAGAGATCAATTTTTTATCAATTAAATATTTTTAAATTTTAGTAAGATGGCTGCATTTTGGACATATCATATTCAGGAAAACATAAAATACTACTAATACTCCCAAATTAAATAAAATTGTTTTCCCCATTTAAATGTATCAATAATACAATAGAAATACACATTCAATGAAACTAATTAAAACCAACAGCAAAAGTAATTTTAACAATGCATACGCAATTGCAAAAAAGGAACGTAGCGAGATAGCACAACTGTGTGATCGATAAAGTTTATTGATAGTGATAGACCAACAGGTTGTTGTTGTCGTTCATATTGTTGGTTACTTGCTTCGCTACATTCATTAAACTCCACTGCAGAGTCATGAACGTTATTGCTCTGCTGATGAATCGAGTGGCGTGTTGCACGATTAATATTTTAAGAGACATTCGTTTCGCCGTGTTTCCACTAGCAACATCAAAACAAACACGTGGAAGCTGCTTCCATTGAACAACGAGCAATATGACAAAAATTTGGAATACCAAATTTACTGAAACAATGCACACTCACAGACACAAAAACACACACACAAACACACACACATATATATATATATATATATATATATATATATACACATATACTCACATATATATATATATATACATACACATATATACATACATATACTCACACACACACACATATACATATGTATTAATTAAATAATTAGGCGGGTGGCGATTTCTTCATTATTAACATACACAGAGTGCAGTCGTCTGTCGTGGACCAAAAAAGTTGACGACTTTTTTTAGTCAATTTTTCGAGTTAGCAATCTGCTGACAACTTGTTTGCTATCAACACCTTCCAGCCTTGATTTGATGCAATGAAATACCCCGAGTTATAAAATTTTCAGCATTTCTTCAAAATGTAAAAAATTAATAGTAATCTATTTTTTCGTTCGTCTGTTTTTGTAATGAATATTTTAAATGGTTCATTATAACATACTCCTAGATACAGTTGAAAAGGTGGTGCTTCTTGTTTCCAACGTTAACATGTTGGTATTGTTAATATGATAAAAAAAAACTAAACCTTTAAAAGTGGCGAGAAGAACCAATTAAATAATGTGCAACATCGTGTTTTAAAAATTAGTAAACTTTTTAAGAAAAATTGTTGCTCATTAAATGTTAACTTAATTTTTACACTGGTCAGAAATTGCCAACGCGCAAAAAATTCTAATTTTTCAACCAGCCCCCTCCAAAATTTTTTCTTGGCTAAATATTGTGCTTCGCTTCGCTACAATAAATTTTGGCAGCGAAAATCATTTTGTGCTAATGTTTTATAATATAACCTACCCTAAGTTTTACGACTTCATATTTTACATTTAAAATTTGAACAGAATTGGTCTTAAGCTTTTTTTGAATAAACAATTTTTAGAAAATACATTAGCATAACTTACAAACATTTCATTAAATGATGTTTGTAAGTTGTGATGCTGAGTTAGCCTAGCTAAAATATCGTTGATCAATAGAGCAAACAAATTATTATTATTATTATTATTATTAATGCAGTTTATCAAACAAATTAATTTTTTTCAGGTTAGATAAATTTTTAACGATTACCGTTTGACATTTACAAATCAGCGTTTAACGTAGAGGATTGAAAATGAATTCTCCTTTCCTGTCTACATTTGCATGATATCATATCATTGCTTGATATCTTTGTCTCGTTGCAACCCTTCATCCCATTATTACGTCATCCTCACTTCAACATGACATCTTCACATTACTACATCATCTTCACATCATCAGGACATCATCTCATTATCATCGGAGCCTCAAATCATTGTTATAATCATTATTTCAATCACATGACCACTATACATTCTTATCTTCACCGTCGCTCATGACATCGTCCTTGGAACATCCTCACAACATAGCCTCCACATTTTCCAGACATCACTCTTTCGAAAATATGAGGTCACCACTACTATTTAGAAATCATAAACAGCCAATCACTCAACTAACTATTGACCAACCAATCACTCAACTAACTAACCAGCCAATCAATCACGCAACTAACTACTGACCAACCAACCAATCCAACCAACTAACCATCCAACCAACCAACCAACTAACCAGTATCTGTCCAGTCATCATCTGGGCTGAGACGATTTCTCGCGCCCAGTTCTTGGCGTCGGTAAACCAGCTAAT